CACAGACACACACATACATATAGTCACCGTGAGAGAAAGAGAAAGACGTGCCTGACAAACGGACGCAACGGCGTAAACCCTCACTTCGACTCTCTCTCTACTCTCGCGTGTGCAGTGCGCAGGGGTGGCAATTACCAACGCCTCACTCGTAGTCGTCGTAGAGTCTCGTGAGGTAGAGGTAGTAGTGGGTTGCCTCCGGTGCGTGGAAGGGAGAGAAGTTTTCCCACTTCTCGCGACTACGACGACGACGTCTACAGTGGCGAAGGAGAATATGCACACGAAAGAAGTTTAGTTCAGAGGCTGCTGCATGGCGAGGGGGGCATACACACATAAAAGGAAGGAGGAGGCGCTTGCACCATATCGTTTATTTGTATCTGTCATTGCAAAGGAGAGAGAGTAAGAGAGAAAAGCTCCAGCTCTAAAAGCAAAAGCAGAGAGAGAGAGAGCGAGGAGAAATTGGAGGAGAATAACTCGTAGGAGTGTATATACAGACGCTGAGAGAGAGAGAGAGAGAGAGAGCCAAGCGGTGGTGGAAATTCCTCTAAATATACGACGTTAAAGCTTTTCCTCTTTCGAGCGGCTCGAGCTTGCAAGCAAGCAAGCCAGCATTTTCTTCTCTCTCTCTCTCTCTCTTTTGCTCTTTTACCTGTATATATACGTCTGTTTTATATCCACCTGCTGTCTTTTGCGCATTTTTCCAATATAACCTCGTAGTTTTTCCCCGCTCGCGCCCAGCAGCAGCAAATGTTGTATATATACCTATATAGAATATCCTGGCTTTTACTTCTTTTCTTTTATCGCTCGCGAGAGCTCAATACGAAGTGCTTCAAGCACCAGCTCTCTCTTTCTCTTTCTTTCTTGCCTCGCTCGTGCACACATCTCCAACGTACATATATATAAGAACGAGGTATATATCAGGGGAAAAACTTTTTCACGTGCAATTTTCTTTTTTATGTTGCAATCTTTTTTTCGCTCCACCCCCGAGCAGCGGCGGCAGCCGATGATGATTGACAATAAAAAAATCAATTTTACTAAATAATACGCGCGTCCAAATTGATTTCATCGATCTTTTTTTTTTACTGCGAATGAGAATGAGAATGAGAGAGATAAGCAGCCAGCAGAACTTGATTACGCAATGTAAAGTAGTGGCGCGTATAATATTGGGTTAAACTATTCCATTAGGCAGGTTAAGACCAGTTGCAAAAGCCAAAGAGACCGAGAGCAGCAGCAGCGAAAAGAAAAAAATTCCATTTCAGGCATCGACCACATCAATTTAAACTCTCTCACGCGCGCGCCGCTCGCGCTGCCAACTCGCGCCGCCGTCGTCGTCGTCGCGCACGACACGAGCTACCACTATATAGAGAGAAGCAATGGCAGCAGCTACCGCTCTTACACCTCAGAGCTTCGACTCTACTATTTTCTTTTTTTTCTGCTTTTTTTTACTCTCTTTTTCTTCGCCTCGGCCGCCGGTTTTTTTTCTCCGCTTCTTTCATACATATATATAATATACACGTATAGGTACCTAGCCGGAGTACTACACCCAGGCAACACACCTCAACAATTTTTTGCCCAAGCCAATCCCTCGAGCGCATTAAACCGACTTTTCTTCCACTCTCTTTTCACGACCGCCACAAGCTCTCGTCGTCGACGTCGACGTCCGTCGTTGCCATTCTGACTTTCCTCCTGCGGGCTTTTCTTTCATCCTACTCGTTTCACTCGGTCGGGTTCTCTCTCTTTCTCTCTACTTGCCTTTTTCCAACCCTTTTTCTCTCTCTCTTTCTCTCTCTTATTCTCTTTTTTACTCCGTTATACCGGCTTTCGTCGTCGTCTCTCTCTCTCTTTTCACTTTTCCCAGACGCCCTAATACGTCTCGCTCTTTTCATTTTATTGGCGCGGTGGTCTTGCGAGTGGCCAGACTTGTATAAAAACCTAAAATAAGTAAGAGCTTGGAAAAACTACTGTATAGGTGCATTTATAAATGCAGTTGTAGTAGCAGCAGTCAAAGAAATTTATTCAGTGAAACGGAAAACTCGAAGCAACGCACAAAGTACACCTACGAGTACTTTGCTAACGTTGACGCTGCTGCTGCTGCCGCTGCTACTGTCGTTCTCAGCTTTCGCGTACATATTCAGTACCTTTCTCACTCCATACAGGTATACATGCTTATATTTTATACTCGCTTTACTTCTTCTATGCTCTTCGTCTAACTTTATGTGTATTGCTTTCCCTCCCTTCCTTTCGTTGCTCAAGCTTTCTTCTACTGAGTACTCCTTGTTTTTCACCGAGAGCTTTGGACTTTTTCATTTTCTTATTTTGAGTATGAATTCGTATTGTATTTTCGAGAAAATTCGATGGAAATTACGTAAAAATTTAAGCTCACTGAGAAAACGCGTTTTCCTTTTATAGTTTTGAATAAGCAGTTATATGCATAAAAAGGAAAAACTATGGATTCAGCAAAATTCGATGATAAACGTCAGCCACACGGAACTGGCTAATGTTTATGAAAATCGACGTACAAAGAAGGAAATCAACCGACAGTTTTACGATTTGTTGTAACAATGTCGAACATTCTAGAATTTCGTAGCGATACGAGATAATTTTCATCTGTCATTACAATGCGTCATCTCTGCAGCAACTATCGAGCAAATATCAATATCGCGGCTTTCTGGAATTTTTCAACAACCACGTGTCCGGCTCTGTTCTGCTTGACTCCGGTACATACCAGTTATAACAACAAAGGCAGATAATCCTTTTTGGTGGCTCTCGCTGCGAGACAGCAGCTAGAGGTGTACGGACGAGTGGCGTGTCCGAGGGGCGGCTCTCTTCGTCTACCACTCCGAGATATCCGAATAATCAGTGGCATCATCTAATACTATTTCCGATAAATCAATCAACTGGGAGTCGGCTCTTTTGCTCCTCTCTCTCGTCGTATACAACAGCGTCAGCTCCGGCTTTCTTTCGTTTAAATTATACATATATACACGAGCTTTTATACGTGTACATAGATTTTCTTCGCTCACGAGCAGCAGCATAATCCACGTAAGCCGCGATATTTCATTAAATTTTGTTAAATACTCGAGGCTCTCTAGCAGCAGCGGCAACGGCAGCAACGAAGAGAGCGAGAGAAAAGCTGAAGGCAGAAGCAGCTCTCCACACTTTACCCACCTCTTGGTATTGCTGATTTTTTACTCTCATTTCGATCTACCCCACGGTATATACGCTTTCTTTCAGTTTCTTTCTCGAAGCGAGCGAGCGAGCTAGCTCTGCAGCTCTAGCAACAGTAGTAGTTGCGCTGCTGAGTTCGTGGTCTCCGCCCATAAAGTTTGTGGTCCAGACTAAAGGTTGCTGCCGCCCTCTTCCTCTCTCTCTCTATATATATACGTATCCCAAAGCTTTTCTCTTTTTTTGCTCGAGCTCTGTTATACACTCTTTGTGAGTACATGTACGTGTGTGTGTGGTCATGCTACTCGCCCCTTTTTGCGAAGTACACGCGATGAGAAAGAGAGAGAGAGAGAGAGAGAGAGAAAGACCAAAAATTGGCATGCGAGAAAATACAATTCTCCCATAAAGCCATATAGCGATCATGTATGATGGTCCGGGGCCTGGGAGAGATACTTTTACTCGACTGGTCTCTTTTACCCCTTTCTATTTCCTTTTTTTACGAATCGATTTGCGTTCGATGCGACGTCGTGCGACTTTCTTTCTTTTTTTTTTGGTTTCGTTTTTGTTTTTTATTTTTTTGGCCCATCGTAGCCTCTGTATGGTTCTACCAAAAATAAATTTATTTGTCATAGTGCCCGTGTACTCCGTGCAGTGAAACTATTGCACCCAGACGGCTGTGGGAATAACTGGGAAATCACAAAGAAAAGGTATAACAAACGTACTTTTTTAGAACATGATGCAGCTCAAGACTGAGAAAATTTTTTTTCTTTAATATATTAGCAATCCCCATATAGGTTACAGAAAAACTACTGATAAAATTAACAGTCAAAGAGCAGGTACTTGTATGAAATTATTCTGTTAAACACTTGCGAGTTTCTAAAAATTCATGTATACGCCACCTGTTGACAAAATATGACAGTCAGGATCCAGATAGCTTTTTAAAAGTGTTGATAAAACTTTCGTAGCAACACGTACAGTTCCCGTAAGTTTTTATTAAGCTTTTCACAATTTTTCATTGATGCTTCCAAAATGGTTCCACATAAGCTTCCTGGGAAGGTTTCAGCTTTGAAAAAAAGCTGGAAGCTTTAAGAAAATTTCAATAAAAATGTCCTTGCGAATGTCACGAAGCTTCTATGAAAGCTTTCATTGCATGCTTTTTTGAAGCTGTCTGGTAGCTTTCCTGAGAAGCTTTCATGTTGTATGGATCACAGCTAGAATAAGAATTTTGAGTTCTTTTTCCAGAAGAAGAGTTCAAAAGTTTAAATTAAGATTTTCGAAAACATTATTAAATGTCTGCTATTGTCTGTACTAATACGAGTGAATCTCGTGGCATTACAATTTTTCATGAATTGCAATATGAATCGTACGTAAAGAATTCAAATAAAATTTCTAACAAAGTTAGTGTTGTATCTAAGGAAACTGTATTTCGTTACTACCATTGGGAAAAACTATTAAAAACAAATTTTGATTTTGAAAACACACGTTTAATGTAGAAAGTTTTAAACCGCTGATATATTTGTTGACAATATTTACAAATTTCAGTTTGGCCAGTATAATTTATAATCAATATCAATACAATAATATTCGGTATGGTATACGTGTTGACGTAATTATTTCGTACCGATTGAATTTTTTTCTAGATAACCATTACCTAATATTCCAAAATGTTTCATGAAAATCCGAATGAGTGGTTCGACCGTTGAGATAGCAGCTGAAAAATCTTTATTGACCTAACGAATGAATTTCTGTATAAATGTGTTCTTTGGCACACGTTGACTCAAGTCTCTTTCTCTTGTCAAATAGTTCTGTAGTCCATTTCTTTGATGAATGTACCCCACTCACGAGGACAGTCTCTTCCAAACTCTGTGTTTACTGCTGTTGTAGTGTTTCGTCATAAAATATCTTTTCATAAATTCTTTGTCCTGCACTTTGTACTCGTGAACCTTCCTTCCTTTGTAAAATCTTTGGTGGCCCAACAATCGGCTCTGAGATATAAATTCTCTGTGGCACACATCGCACTCGTACTTGATTCGTTCGTTGTGCCATTTTTGTTTGTGGGTTATCAAATCTGGTGGTCTTAAAAATACTTTTTGGCACATGTCGCACTCGACTTTATTTCCTTTGCAGCAAGGTCCTACTTTGTGCTTTATCAAATCTGTTTGGCTTGAAAATAATTTGTGGCACACGTTGCACTCGTGGATTAACGGCTCTGGGTGAGACAGTTTTTGGTGGTTCGTCAGTAGGCTCTGAAGCGTAAATGCTTCGTGGCACACGTCGCACACGTATTCGCGGGCATCGCGATGTGATGTTTCGGTCAACGGCGGATGTGATTGATCGAGTTTGATTGGATCTGGTTCGCTTGGATGACTATGCCGATGGTGATACACTGAAGCATCTTCGGAACTAAAATAAACTTTACAACGGTGACATGGGTACGAAGACAAAGACATTTTTTCTTTCTTGAAATAACCGAAATTTTGTAGTCGTTACACTATAATATATCGTATCGTCTTACTGTTCGAATAGGCCGATAATCACTAATTTGTCCGATTTACTAGAGTAAACAACAAAAGATGAATGCTGACGGATTTGTGTACATATAAGTAGTCGACCAATCGATCCAATTCAAATCAAAACATTGTTTTCGCTGGGTTGATTGTTAATGTTTACTCAAAGAATAATAATGAGATTATTATTTTTTTGGTTTTATTTAAATAGTTTAAATATTCAAATAGTTTTGGAAATTCAAGTCCGGATCGAACTCGATTAGATTTTGAGTTTTCCGTTTTTTTTTTACAATCTATTTCTGTTATAAAAATAACCTCTGGAGGGTCCAGATCACTTTGAAATAAATTTTATCTGAAAGTATTACGTTTTTTCACGTTTAAATTATTCTATACTGAGCTATTAATTATTTATTCATCTGCGATATTTAATGAATTTTGAAAAAATTCTAAAAATGCCAACTTCGAGCCTCTCAAAAAAGTGTATAGATGGTCCCAGAAATTCTAATAGAATTTAATGACATTTAAAGGAGAATAAAATATTTAGCTGGAGTTTCAGGATTTCATTGGAATTTATAATTAATATTTTTGAATAATATTGAGGTGATGAAATTTTTGCAGTCAGCTGGCTACAGACTGGACGTGCTTGCTAGACTAGAGGATGATACAATTTTGGGAAAAAATACGAGATTACGATTCGTACCCTTCAATTCCCCACAGTTCAAAATAGGAAAAGGAAGAAGGATATGCAAAAATTGTGGATTAGATCTACACATTCATGAATGATTTGGCTTTTTTCTGAAATCAGAAGATGAAGATTATTTATATAAACAACTAGCCCGGAGCCTGAAATCATGGATAATGTAATGCGACGCCATCCGGTATCGACCCGGTTCGGATCTAAAAACTACTTTATAAATAATTGCGACCTTAAAGTTACAGAAAACCGCTGCCAATTAATCGGCATACCGCTTACTTATAAAAAAAACGTCGTTTCTATTTTATTCATAAATTTTAACAAACACTCGAGCCTTCCCTGCGTCATTTCGTGTATTGGAATGTTAAATTGAATGTTCAGCAGTAAAAAAAATATCTCGTCTATGTTTGGTGGCCGCTAGCTGACCAACATCGGAGAATCAATTCCACAATACAGTTGCCCCTGCCGGGATATAAGATTGGTAACAAAAGACTCTCTGTACTTACGAAAATCAATGTTCGTCTCAGAGCTTCATTTTGTTGAACATGTATCATTTAAACTATTGATATTATTTTGAACTCGCTGTGTTTCTTTTCATCGAAAATCTTTTATTCTTTGATCTTCATTTTATTCTATTTATTATTTTATTATTTGTGTTTAATTTTGCACCACAATTTCTTTTTTCTTATCATTCAGTAAAATTTGGCAAGTAACACAATTGACTGACAATCGTTAGCACAATTTTGCACCTCTGAAAAGGGTCTCAAATATTCTGATAAAGTTTTGGGACTGGCATGAAAAACTTCTTGTTTATCATGGCAGCAGGAAAAAAAACTTTTTGGACACTCAATTTCTCAGAGAATCAGGCATTCATTGACGTGATAATCACGTGTTTTATTCATGAAACATAAATTGTTTAACACTTTCCTAAACGTGCTTTTTAATTGCTTCAAAAACGAAATCTTTATCTTACAAATTGATTACAATCTTACGACAAGCAAAAATACCAACGATATCATAAAAAATGAATCGATTTCATTGGCACTCGGAGATTTTGATTAATATCAACCAATTTCCACCCCTACAAAAGTATTGGGGAAGTTGTGTTATTTCGTCCACGTGACAAAGAAAAACAGACTTTCTCATACACAACATTGGGGAAACACATTATTCGTATATTTGAAATTATCGCACAATAGCGTAACATTTTTCAACTCGTCAATGGATATATAAATTAGAGTCCTAAAAATACGTTCGTTACTTATTATAAATCTTCTCTGAGACGTAGGTAATTCTCGTCCTTATGGAGGTTCTTTCGGGTAACACGCTAGTCAATTGAGTGTTCGGACAGTAACTTGGGTTAAGTTAGCTGGCTTGTCGTCTGTTAGCCCTAAAACGAGCCGAAAAAGTCGTGTTTTCGCGTCTTTTATTAAGAAAATTTTGCAAAAACGGTTGGCTACCTCTATTTTGAAACACGGTTTTGAAAAGATGAGAACTTTCTCTACAATTTGTGTATAATCATTCCCCTGCGAACTTTGATTTCTTTTTATAAATTGTAAATGTAGCTCAAATTTTCATGCATTTCTATGTTTCCCATGTTAATTTTCGAAACTTTGATCGCGTTTTTCTCGAGATTTTGCTTGACTGAGATTTTGCATATAAGAGCTATACCATTGGATTCGGGAGGTAAAAATCTATCGATGTTGATAAATGTACTTCTTGTGAACTTTGCAAGGGAACCTCCTTTAAAAGTAAACATCAAATGGTTCCCGAGTTACCTGTAGATGGCGTCTAGCTGAATTTTTCGAAAGTCTCGAGAAAAAAGGCAAAGTTCTAGGAACAAATAAGGCGTAATGTTTGGTCGTTTTAGCAACCTCATAATTCCTGAGGTGGAAAGGGCTAACGAGATAACTTTATTTTTGGTTTTTTCAAGAAAAACACGTTTTAAGTTACGCATGAGGGCCTAGCTAGAAGCGCACGACTAAAGATCTGTACCTATGATATTTTTACCTATTATGAGGTATCTTTTGAACTATGCACTTGTGAAATTGAAAGACACATCATAGTGACGATACGAAGCAAAAAATATGGACTTATCTCGTTAGGCACGGTGTTATATTTAACGATAGGTGTTGTACTTGTCTATTCTTGCCCTTGTACCTCAAAGTAGACATAACATATAGGTAATTCATGTCATAAACTCGATTTCGAAAAAATGGAGTTATCTCGTTAGCCCTTTCCCCCACAGATTTGTATGTGGTATGATAGATAACTATATCACATAAAGATAGTAGAACCGTGGGCACCTAATTAAACTAGTAAAACGTATCATAAAATTTAAATACACATTAGTTTACTATGTCATATGTGCAAAAAAATACAAAATAAAGTCTCTTTTTAAATTCAAAATTCGTTTGAGTTTCCATTACCATCAATTGCATCATTTTAAATGATAAAAAGAATTCTCATATCTAAAAAGAACTCTAATATTAACAGAAAGCACTAAATGCACCAATAGTTCGAATGGCTATCTCAGAAATTTTGTTTATTCAGTGCAAAAGGGACTTCGTGCTATACATATAGCCACGACTCACGAGTGATAGCGCATCGACCCAGGCAGCAGCAGTAGCAGCAGCAGCAGCACTCCGAGAGGGAACGCAAACGTACATACGTACTGCAGACGTCGTCGTCGTCGGAGTAGATAGAGAAAAAGGAGTAGGGGCGCGGGAGGGAGTCGGGCAGGCACCGAGTTCAAAGAGGGGAAATCGTATTACCCTCGCAACGCAGAGCCATATAAATGTGTATGTATGTATGTATGCGGAGTATATATCCGCGAGCGTACACATAGAGATCTAGAGAAGTATAAAGCGAGTGCAGCTATATCTACGCACGAGAGTATCGAGCAGAGGGTATACGAACAGAACCAGAGAGCTCCCCATTGGCCTGAAATTCTACCAACGTCATTTGCAAATACTACTATATCCAGCGAGCTATGTTGGAATACGCTCGGTTGTTTCGTATATGGGGTGTATTACGATAACCATGGCGTGATGTAACTAAAAAAGGTCGACTCTCATAGAGTTGATTAGAATGCCGAATTGTTCAAATAAATCAATATTTTACAACGTCTACTTAGATACCAACAAACAACTGAAGTTATTTGGTTAAAATTAGTGTTTTCAACCTCGAAAAAATTAGTTCAACGATCAACTTTATTTTTGCAATAAAACTCTATTTATCGATATTTAGTGGGAGTTGAGCTTTTGTACAAGATTTTTGGCAAAAATTTTACTTGCTTGTCGGTTTACATAAAAAAATCATAGATTTAATATTTTCTTCATAGATACCTTATTAAAATATAATGCAATGAAGAAAATGGAAATTTGATCACCCACGAATTTATTAGGAACCCACAAAAAAACAATTTAAGTGTTTAACATAGTTGACGCGATACAACCCATATACGGCCAGCCTCGAGTCTGAACAGTCAGAGAAATACCCATGGAGAGAGAGAGAGAGTCACACTGCTCTGCCATTGGCCCCGAGTTTCTCTCTTTCCCACTGTAGTAGTTCCGATTCGAGTGTAGCATTGGCGCCGCGGCGCACAAAGAGCCAGAGAGCCAGAGAGAGATCCTCCCAACTCGGTTCGAGCGAGGAGGGATATACGCTGCATTCGGCATATCGAGGCCTCGCACATTCGCAGGAATTGCACAGAGCCTCTCTCTCATCCATTTCGCTGATTCGTCTGTGACTGCCTGCGAATGGTGTCGTAGTACTCGACGCGACGCGCGAGCTTTCGCATACGGACCGTGTATAGTAGTAGCGGCATCCAACTGGGTGGGGCCGACTGCAGACGTGGCTCTACTACTTGTCGTTGAACTCGCGATTGCTGCGCGGCGCTTGGGTTCTTCGAGGCAGAGAGAACTTGGGGTTTTTTATTTTTTGCACGAATATATGTTCCTCATCTCGAGTTCAAACATGCACTCGTTATTACAAATTGTTGCTCGAAATTGCATAAAAATGTCGAACATTCGAGGTATCCTCGAAGGAAGTAAAAAAAATAAAATAATAAAACTTTGAACATTGACTTTCTACCCTGAGACTCGCACGTAAATAAAAAAAAATACGATTCCAGGGTCGAGTATAGCTACCCGCGTACGTAGGAGGAGCAGAAAGAATATCAGAGTAAGAAAAAAAGCCATATTCCAAGTTATATCGGAAATAAACTTCGAGTTACGAGCGGCGCTCT